CTATAAAAACTCTTATACACAAAGTTTTCTATACAAAAAACTTACACAAACATTCTTTTGTAGAAAAAACTGTTATACCCAAAATTTTCTTTAGAAATAACTTTAAAGAAATAAATTTACCAAATTTTCTATAGAAAAACGTGTTACAAACAGATACAGATATTGAAAAAACTGTTATACACCAATTATTTTAAAGAAAAAACTGTTATACCTAAAATATTCTACGAAAAAACTGTTATTCACAAAGTTTCCAACACAAAAAACAATTTTACACAATTTATTCTAAAAAAAACTGTTATACTCATAGTTTTTACACAGAAAAACTCTTATACACAAATATTTCTATAGAAAAAACTGTTATACAAATTTCTGTTTTAGAAATGTCTGTTATACACAATTTTTTATTTAAAAATACTGTTATACACTATGTTATTTACCAATATTTTTCACAAAAGTAACTGTTAACATTTCTTCCTATACAACTACGTATTACACACAGATTCTTATATAAAAAAAAAACGTTATACACAAATTTTTTTATGGAGAAAACTGTTATACCTAAAATGTTATATAAAAAAAGTATTAATCATTAAGATTTCTTCACAAAAAACTGTTATACATAATTTATTCTATTAAAAACTGTTATACTCATAATTTTTACACAGAAAAACACAAATATTTCCATAGAAAACTATTATTCACAAATATTTCTATAGAAAACAAATATTTTTCTATAGAAATTACTGTTATAGACAAAGTTTTCTATAGAAAAAACTGTTATAAATGAATTTTTCTTTAGAAGAAAGTTTTATATACTAAGTTATCTAAAGCTTAAACTATTATACACAAATTTTTTAATAGAAAAAACTATTATACATAAAATTGTTTTTTAAAGTTAAACTGTTATACTCCAAAATTTTCTACAGAAAAGTGTTATACATAGATATACTGTAGAAAAAAAATGTTATACCCTATTTTTTATAAGAAAACTGTTATACGCAATATGTTTCCCTAAAAAAAAACACTTTTTGTATATGAAAAACTGTTATACACCAATTTCTCGTTAGAAAATAACTAATACCTAAAACATTCCATAGTAAAAACTGTTATTCATGTTTTTTTTATTAAAGAAAAGTGTTATACAGGTTTCTTCTTAAAAAAAAAAGACTGTTATACTGAAATTTTTTAATTAATAAAACTTTTTATACTAAATTTTTTATAAAGAAAAAGTGTTATACTCAAGAATTTTTATGGAAAAACCAATTATCCTATAAAAATAGAATTTTTTACTATATAAAAAACTGTTATACACAAAGTATTCCATAAAAAAATATGTTTTATACAAAGGTCTCTATAAAAAAAATGATTATTCTTACATTATTCTATAAAAGAAACTGTTATACAGCATTTATTTTATTATAAACTTAATATTTTCACAGTAAAAAGTTTTATACTTTCAACTTTGTTTTTATATTACAAAAAAATTTACAAAAAAAAAAATCATTATTATTAGTATTCTTTAGATATTTTTGTAAAATTTTCAATCTTATTAAATGGTGTTTTATTTTTTATTAATGATTGAATTATAAATAATAAACGTCCGCTGTAAAATGATTGGTTATGTCTAGCCTTAGACAAGTTTAATTTATAAATTTTTGCAAAATGAACTTGAAGTTTGGTTCTTTAGAGAACTCCCCAAAAAAGAACATGAGAAATAAAAAAAATATATAAAGACTGTGTATCGAATTAAAGCGTTGAGACGAACACAAAGATTGGAACAAACAAAATAAAAAGAAATCTTGCAAAACTTGTTTTACTTTCTTGTTTTATTTGTTTGTATATAGAAAAAGATTGTTTTTAAAGCTTTTAGTAGCTTCTTTGATTTCTTCTGTTTTTTTTCATACAAACAACGTTCTTTTTTCGATTTTGTTTAAGAATTTAAATTGAACTTAAGTAGTGTATAAGTGGTTTAGTAAGATGAATGGAAAAAACAGAAGAAAAAGCTAAACACAAGATGCTATAGAGTAAGAAAAAAGAAAAGATTAATTTAAGAAAAGTACTTGGGTTTTGGCAGGCAAAGTAAACAGTGATCAGATGGGGGTATCTTCTTTTAAATAAATAAATTATTAGAAAAAGAATGTTTGAAAGTATGTGAAGAGTTGCTATTATTTTAGAGGTGTCTAATGAGCTGTAGCCTGAGGTTAGTTTGAAATAAAAAAAAAAAAAACTTTTTTTCTTAAAGATATAAAATTTTCAAAAGTTTTTTTGTTAAAAAAGTAAGTAAGAACAAATCGAACTTTAAATATAAGAAAATTGAGGTTACAGAGTGTTTAAAACATATTTATGAAAGAAATTGTATAGAAAATATAAAATACCAAACTGTTATACAAACATTTTCTATAAAAAAACTGTTATATACCAATATTTCTATAGAAAAAACACTGCTTAAAATTAAATTCTCTAAAGACAAAACTGTTATACACATATATTTCTAAAGAAAACTTTATTTTTTTATATGAAAAACTGAATTGAACTAGAATGGAACTAGAACTGAACTGGAACTTAACTAGAACTGAAATAAAACTGAACTAGAACTGAACTAGAACTGAACTAAAACTGAACTAGAACTGAATTAGAACTGAACTAGCACTGAACTAGAACTGAACTAGAACTGTACTAGAACTGAACTAGAACTGAACTAGAACTGAACTAGAACTGAACTAGAACTGAACTAGAAATGAACTAGAACTGAACCAGAACTGAACTAGAACTGAACTAGAACTGAACTAGAACTGAACTAGAACTGAACTAGAACTGAACTAGAACTGAACTGAACTGAACTAGAACTGAACTAGAACTGAACTAGAACTGAACTAGAACTGAACTAGAACTGAACTAGAACTGAAACTAGAACTGAACTAGAACTAGAACTAGAACTGAACTAGAACTACTAGAACTGAACTAGAACTGAACTAGAAATGAACTAGAACTGAACTAGAAACTGAACTAGAACTGAACTGAACTGAACTAGAACTGAACTAGAAATGAACTAGAACTGAACTAGAACTGAACTAGAACTGAACTAGAACTGAACTAGAAACTGAACTAGAACTGAACTAGAACTGAACTAGAACTGAACTAGAACTGAACTAGAACTGAACTAGAACTGAACTAGAACTGAACTAGAACTGAACTAGAACTGAACTAGAACTGAACTAGAACTGAACTAGAACTGAACTAGAACTGAACTAGAACTGAACTAGAACTGAACTAGAACTGAACTAGAACTGAACTAGAACTGAACTAGAACTGAACTAGAACTGAACTAGAACTGAACTAGAACTGAACTAGAACTGAACTAGAACTGAACTAGAACTGAACTAGAACTGAACTAGAACTGAACTAGAACTGAACTAGAACTGAACTAGAACTGAACTAGAACTGAACTAGAACTGAACTAGAACTGAACTAGAACTGAACTAGAACTGAACTAGAACTGAACTAGAACTGAACTAGAACTGAACTAGAACTGAACTAGAACTGAACTAGAACTGAACTAGAACTGAACTAGAACTGAACTAGAACTGAACTAGAAACTGAACTAGAACTGAACTAGAACTGAACTAGAACTGAACTAGAAACTGAACTAGAACTGAACTAGAACTGAACTAGAACTGAACTAGAACTGAACTAGAACTGAACTAGAACTGAACTAGAACTGAACTAGAACTGAACTAGAACTGAACTAGAACTGAACTAGAACTGAACTAGAACTGAACTAGAACTGAACTAGAACTGAACTAGAACTGAACTAGAACTGAACTAGAACTGAACTAGAACTGAACTAGAACTGAACTAGAACTGAACTAGAACTGAACTAGAACTGAACTAGAACTGAACTAGAACTGAACTAGAACTGAACTAGAACTGAACTAGAACTGAACTAGAACTGAACTAGAACTGAACAAGAACTGAACTAGAACTGAACTAGAACTGAACTAAGAACTAGAACTGAACTAGAACTGAACTAGAACTGAACTAGAACTGAACTAGAACTGAACTAGAACTGAACTAAAACTGAACTAGAACTGAACTAGAACTGAACTAGAACTGAACTAGAACTGAACTAGAACTGAACTAGAACTGAACTAGAACTGAACTAGAACTGAACTGAACTAGAACTGAACTGGAACTTAACTAGAACTGAAATAAAACTGAACTAGAACTGAACTAGAACTGAACTAGAACTGAACTAGAACTGAACTAGAACTGAACTGAACTGAACTAGAACTGAACTAGAACTGAACTAAACTGAACTAGAACTGAACTAGAACTGAACTAGAACTGAACTAGAACTGAACTAGAACTGAACTAGAACTGAACTAGAACTGAACTAGAACTGAACTAGAACTGAACTAGAACTGAACTAGAACTGAACTAGAACTGAACTAGAACTGAACTAGAACTGAACTAGAACTGAACTAGAACTGAACTAGAACTGAACTAGAACTGAACTAGAACTGAACTAGAACTGAACTAGAACTGAACTAGAACTGAACTAGAACTGAACTAGAACTGAACTAGAACTGAACTAGAACTGAACTAGAACTGAACTAGAACTGAACTAGAACTGAACTAGAACTGAACTAGAACTGAACTAGAACTGAACTAGAACTGAACTAGAACTGAACTAGAACTGAACTAGAACTGAACTAGAACTGAACTAGAACTGAACTAGAACTGAACTAGAACTGATCTAGAGCAGTACTAGAACGGAACTAGACACAAATATTATATATAAAAAACTGTTATACATCCTCTCAAAACGCTCTATATTGTTTTTTTTTTTTTTTGAGAAATGTCACTAAAACCGACTTGTTCCAAACACTAATATAACAAGATTTCCATGAAAAAATCGTATTTTTATAAAAAAAAAATCCCTTAAAGACACAGTTTTCTTAAACTTAATAGATTATTTTATAATAAATCACTTTGCTTACCTTTCTTTATTCCTTTTAAACGTTTCTAATAACTTCTTAGATGTTCAGCCGTTGTTACACACCAAACTAAATATTTAAACATTAAGAAAACACTTCAAATTTGCCAAAAATTTGCTAATATTTCAATATAATCATTAAAAAAATCTTTAAAAACTCTTAAAACCTTCCACTATAAACAAAAATACAGGTGGCAACTTTTTACTACAGCAAACAACAAAAAAAAAAACCCAATTAAAAGAAAAACAACAAGAAAACCACTTAAAGAGAGTGAGAGCAGGCAAGAGAACGAAAAAAACACACACACAAAACTAAATAAAACTATGACAAGAAGGCAAAAAATTTATGAAGTAAACAAGAAAAAATCTCCAAAAATCAAGTAAGAATTTAACAAATGAAAAGAAATTTAATAAAAATTATTTATGTTCTATTATTAAACAAATGTTTTGCAAGAAAAACCTTTATTGAACAATTTTTTTCACTTTTGTTTTACGTTTTGCATTTTCTCAGCTGCTTCTTCTTCTAGAAAAGAAAAAATAAAATTTTCTTGCTTTTTTTTTCTTCCAGTTGTTGTTTCTTTCCACCTTTTTTTTCTTATAAAAAATTAAAGCAAAATATTAGCAAATTTTTATTTGGCAAATAAATTATTAAACAATTTTTCTTTTCAATTTCTACACTAACAAAAACATTAATTATTTCTTGTTAAACACTTTTACTTTATTATATTGCCTTACGTTCTATAATTTTTTGTATCTTTTTTTTTCTACACTTTCGTTGTATGTGGTTGTTTTATTATAAAATTATTTTTTTCTTCTTTTTTTATACCTTTTGGAAGCCTTTTTTTCTAGGGATAGGTAACGATTTATTCACTTTTATTTGTAGGCTTTTGTTATTAAAAAATTATTTTTGCTTTTAAGAAAATTTATTTGATTTTTTATTAACACACACTCACTAAAATAGAAGAAATTAAATAAAAAATCACTCCGACGCTTTGTGAAATTCAACGTTTTTTGACAAATCGATCTACTCAACTGAGAAATATTTGTTGTATTTTCTGCCACACACTGTCAAACAACTCTGTCATTTTTCGCACCAAAAACCAATTCGCCTCAACGCTGTCAATACACTTAAATGCAACTCTGTTTAGAGAAACGACTCTGTTAATGACAGGGTGGGTAGGTTAGAAGAATATTAGTCCATTTTTATGGTCAAAAAGTACTAAAGCAAAAAAATGTTTGAAGAAAAACTTTTTAATTTCCTTTACTTACTCTTACTCTTTTCCACTTTTACTTACAAAGTCGATCATTCAGCTTTTTTTACTTTTCAACTTTTATAAAGTCGATTATGACAATTAGAACTGAATTAGAACTAAACTAGAACTGAACTAAAGAACAAAAACAGAACTAGAACAGAACTAAAACAGAACTAAAACAGAACTAAAACAGAACTGGAACAGAACTAGAACAGAACTAGAACAGAACTTGAACAGAACTAGAACAGAATTAGAACAGAACTAGAACAGAACTAGAACAGAACTAGAACAGAACTAGAACAGAACTTGAACAGAACTAGAACAGAATTAGAACAGAACTAGAACAGAACTAGAACAGAACTAGAACAGAACTAGAACAGAACTAGAACAGAACTAGACAGAACTAGAACAGAACTAGAACAGAACTAGAACAGAACTAGAACAGAACTAGAACAGAACTAGAACAGAACTAGAACAGAACTAGAACAGAACTAGAACAGAACTAGAACAGAACTAGAACAGAACTAGAACAGAACTAGAACAGAACTAGAACAGAACTAGAACAGAACTAGAACAGAACTAGATCAGAACTAGAACAGAACTAGAACAGAACTTGAACAGAACTAGAACAGAATTAGAACAGAAACTAGAACAGAACTAGAACAGAACTAGAACAGAACTAGAACAGAACTAGAACAGAACTTGAACAGAACTAGAACAGAACTAGAACAGAATTAGAACAGAACTAGAACAGAATTAGAACAGAACTAGAACAGAACTAGAACAGAACTAAACAGAACTAGAACAGAACTAGAACAGAACTATAACAGAACTAGAACAGAACTAGAACAGAACTAGAACAGAACTAGAACAGAACTAGAACAGAACTAGAACAGAACTAGAACAGAACTAGAACAGAACTAGAACAGAACTAGAACAGAACTTGAACAGAACTAGAACAGAACTAGAACAGAACTAGAACAGAACTAGAACAGAACTTGAACAGAACTAGAACAGAACTAGAACAGAATTAGAACAGAACTAGAACAGAACTAGAACAGAACTAGAACAGAACTAGAACAGAACTAGAACAGAACTAGAACAGAACTAGAACAGAACTAGAACAGAACTAGAACAGAACTTGAACAGAACTAGAACAGAACTAGAACAGAATTAGAACAGAACTAGAACAGAACTAGAACAGAACTAGAACAGAACTAGAACATAACTAGAACAGAACTAGAACAGAACTAGAACAGAACTAGAACAGAACTAGAACAGAACTAGAACAGAACTAGAACAGAACTAGAACAGAACTAGAACAGAACAGAACTAGAACAGAACTAGAACAGAACTAGAACAGAACTAGAACAGAACTAGAACAGAACTAGAACAGAACTAGAACAGAACTAGAACAGAACTAGAACAGAACTAGAACAAAACTAGAACGGTACTAGACAAAACTAGGCTGAGCAAAAACTACGTTAAACTTTTTAATTTAGCTTTTACTTTTAAATGAATAACATTATCACCCTTATATGAGTACTGCAATATCATAATGACAGTCTGCATTATCAACCAAACACTGCTTTAACTTCGCCGCAAATGTCAACAAATGTAATTAGACGTCTCTTTATGTCAAGTAAAATGCAAGTATTTTACCGCCTTTTAACATGTCTACATCGTTCTCTAGTGTCTCTGTTAGTAATTGCATTAAAATGTTAAATTAAGTGTTTAAATGTTTAACATTTGATGTGAAAAGTGTTAATAAATGTATAGTGCTAAATGTTTTAATGGGTTTTGTTGAAATTTCAAAGTTTTTAAAGAAATATAATGTAAGCAAAAATTTGCAATGTCAGCAGCCTCAGGTGCGTGAGTGTTAGTTGGTTTGTGGAGCACCCCTGTATACATGCAAGCCGGCAAGTGGTTGTTAGGTAGTGTGAGTGTAAATTTTGGTAAATTGCAGTAAAGGGTTGCCGGCTTGTGCGGTAAAAGTGTTTTTAAAGGGGAAGTAAAGGAAATAAAGAAAAATTGGGGAAATGTGTAAAAATTAAGATAAAATTAATGAAAATGAAAAAATAAGTAAAAGAAAGAAATTTAATTAAAAATAAAATAAAAAAGTATAAAATAAATAAAATAGTATAAAATAAAAAAAAAAAATAAAATCAGTCTGAATAAAGTGGTAAAATAAAATCCATCAATATAAAATTTCAAATGTAACGCTTCGATGTCCTTTTCGTTTTGTTAATGGGTATGTATGTTAATTTAATTAAATTTTTATATTGGTACCTGATTGATTAGTTATCATATTTTAAATGTAGACTTTTTTCGACCAGAAAGTCGCTTGCAGTTTCAGTCAGACGACAATTTCAAACTTTGTTAAACAAATTTTAAATTTTAAGAAAATCTGCATGGATCTCCTATGGACAATAAAGGAGGGAATAAAATAGTTCAGAAATTAGGTCGATATCTCTAACATATTAGCAGTACCTGAGATATGAATTTTTATATAGAACTTTTTGAGAATATATAATTCAAGATAATAAGAAACATACATCTGAAACTTTAGTAAAATCGAATAATGTTAACCCATAAACTGTGAAGGTCAAACTCAACCTACGCAATATGGGAAATTTTCTTCAAACTCTAGTGAATAATTGTTTTTTAGGCGTTTGAAATGAAACTTAGGAAAAATATAGTCCTAAATTTATAATGAAATCGAAAAAATTGTAATTAACCTTTAAACGTAAATATATTTTTATAATTATATTATATGTCCGTAATATATGAACAAATTATTCATTGCCTTTTTGCTAGAAAATGACGGGATAAAAATACATTAAAAATAGCTCAATTGGTTTCAAAAGTTTTTACTAACCTTTTTGTTGGTTACCACATCACATTTGTCAACACTTTTTATTAAAACATTTATTAATACATACATATGTATGTATGCAGTAAATTTTTTAAACTTCATTTAATATTTTATTACAATTCTTATTCAATTAACAGAATTACCAGAGGACTATGTTAGCGATTATACAGCCGCCAAAATGTAACATTTCTTTGACAACGAATATATTACTTTATGTTGATAATAACGGCGAAGTTAAAAATGTGCAAGTGTGTTAATGCAGTAAACTAAACAGGCAATGCAGTTACTTAGGGTGTAGTAATATAACTATATTATATGATAATGCAGTACAAATAGCGCAAAAAAACCTATCTTGTTGGCAATACAGTAAAGAAATAGAACTAAACTAGAATTGAACAAGAATTGAACTAGAACTGAACTAGAACTGAACTAGAACTGAACTAGAACTGAACTAGAACTGAACTAGAACTGAACTAGAACTGAACTAGTACTGAACTAGAACTGAACTAGAACTGAACTAGAACTAAACTAGAACTGAACTAGAACTGAACTAGAACTGAACTAGAACTGAACTAGAACAGAACTAGAACTGAACTAGAACTGAACTAGAACTGAACTAGAAATGAACTAGAACTGAACTAGAACTAACTAGAACTGAACTAGAACAGAACTAGAACTGAACTAGAACTGAACTAGAACTGAACTAGACTGAACTAGAACTGAACTAGAACTGAACTAGAACTAGAACTGAACTAGAACTAGAACTGAACTGAACTAGAACTGAACTAGAACTAGAACTGAACTAGAACTAGAACTAGAACTAGAACTGAACTAGAACTAGAACTGAACTAGAACTAGAACTGAACTAGAACTAGAACTGAACTAGAACTAGAACTGAACTAGAACTGAACTAGAACTGAACTAGAACTGAACTAGAACTGAACTGAACTAGAACTGAACTAGAACTGAACTAGAACTGAACTAGAACTGAACTAGAACTGAACTAGAACTGAACTAGAACTGAACTAGAACTGAACTAGAACTGAACTAGAACTGAACTAGAACTGAACTAGAACTGAACTAGAACTGAACTAGAACTGAACTAGAACTGAACTGAACTAGAACTGAACTAGAACCGAACTAGAACTGAACTAGAACTGAACTAGAACTGAACTAGAACTGAACTAGAACTGAACTAGAACTGAACTAGAACTGAACTAGAACTGAACTAGAACTGAACTAGAACTGAACTAGAACTGAACTAGAACTGAACTAGAACTGAACTAGAACTGAACTAGAACTGAACTAGAACTGAACTAGAACTGAACTAGAACTGAACTAGAACTGAACTAGACTGAACTAGAACTGAACTAGAACTGAACTAGAACTGAACTAGAACTGACTATAACTGAATAGAACTGAACTAGAACTGAACTAGAACTGAACTAGAACTGAACTAGAACTGAACTAGAACTGAACTAGAACTGAACTAGAACTGAACTAGAACTGAACTAGAACTGAACTAGAACTGAACTAGAACTGAACTAGAACTGAACTAGAACTGAACTAGAACTGAACTAGAACTGAACTAGAACTGAACTAGAACTGAACCAGAACTGACCTAGAAACTGAACTAGAACTGAACTAGAAACTGAACTAGAACTGAACTAGAACTGAACTAGAACTGAACTAGAACTGAACTAGAACTGAACTAGAACTGAACTAGAACTGAACTAGAACTGAACTAGAACTGAACTAGAACTGAACTAGAACTGAACTAGAACTGAACTAGAACTGAACTAGAACTGAACTAGAACTGAAGAACTGAACTAGACTGAACTACAACTGAACTACAACTGAACTAGAACTGAACTAGAACTGAACTACAACTGAACTACAACTGAACTACAACTGAACTACA